CTACTAAAAACAAACTGTTCTCACCCAGCTGCTCACACCCCTTACTTGGGAAGTTTATTTTTTAATCCAGATATAAGATTAGCATTGCTTCTTATTCATTATCATCTTAATTTGACTCTGGGCAGTCCTGTGGCTTGTTGAGTTCCTTTAGGAGCCTTATTTTTAGCAACTGTGGCCTCTGTCCCTACCAGGTGTGACCCGTTGCCTCCTCTCACAGACTGTAAGATCTCCAGGAGGGGATCTTTTATTTTATTTTTTTAAATTTTTAGGCATTTGGGGTTAAGTGACTTGCCCAGGGTCATACAGCTAGTAAGTGTCAAGTGTTTTGGTCTGAGGATGGATTTAAACTCAGGTCCTCCGGACTTCAGGGCCTCGCTCTATCCACTGCACCACCTAGCTGCCCCCAAGAGGGGATCTTTGACTCCTATAATTAGTTAAGGGGGATGTGACTCCCGTATTGCTCCTTCATACTTCTCTCCTCTCCCTCTTTCACGCCTCTTCTCTCCCCTACCCCCCAGGTAAATTGAAGCTTGTGGGGAAAGAGTGAGGGAAGGCTGGGAGCAGAGCACTGAGAACTCATCTGGAATGTCTGGGTTGGAATGGTCCCCTTTCCCTTCCCCCCAGCTACTTAAGGTGAGCTAACAAAAGATCCGTGGAAGCTCACAGGTGGTCTCGGGGCATTTGGGTCAGGTGGGCGCTTGGCTACAAAGTTAAAACTAGGGAGGCAAGGGGAGATCTCACCTGGTTTTAGAAGTTAAAACAAAAGAAAGTGAGGAGCACTCAGTCTTCAAGCATTTCTTTAGCACTTACCATGTGCTAAGTGCTAGGAATACAGGCACAAGCAAAAAGAGAGTCTCTGCCTTCAGGGAGCTTGCATTTTAATGGAGGAAGGCTGTACAGAAAAGAAGCAGAAAGGGGGTGTAGTAGAAGGTATCCAGTGGGAAGTAGGTAGACCAGTTAGTAGCCAGTGCATATATGTCTTCCGTAAGAGTTGTGACTCTTTTTCTTTTTGGTAAATATATTTATTTATTTTTACATGCATTCAATCTGCTCCTCCCATGATCTTGACTTCCATTGAACAACAAAAGCCTCCTCATAAGTTTGCATAGTCCAGCAAAACAAATTTCTGTATTAACCGTATCTGAAAATGTATGTCATGTGAAGTTCTTCACCTGTCCGTCGAGAGGGAGGTGAGTGGAGGAGTTCTTCAGACTTCTGGACTTGTCATTTATCATTACACTGACAGAGTTCTAAACTGCTGTTCTCTGTAATGTTGATATCATCTGTATAAATTGTTCTCCAAGTTCTATTCATTTCCCTCTGCATCAGTTCATTGGAGTTTTCTGAGTTTCCTCTCTCATTTTCTGTGGCACAGTACCATTACATTACATTCATATTGCCATAATTTAAATTTCCCAAGAGAAAACCTTGATTTACCCATTTGGGCTATTATGAAAAAAACTGCTAAAAAGACTTGTGGACACCTGGGTCCTTTTCCTGTTTTTCTGCTGTCTTGGGGGTAGGGGCACAGGGCTGTAGGTGTAGTAGTGGTATTTTCCTAGGAGTTATGCCTCTAAATCACCTGGTCATTGCTAGGAAGATGGTCTTGGGCTGTCCTCTCAAGGCCTTTGGGGTAGTTTTGTTACATTTGGCCCAGGGCTTTGCTTCTCCTCCTGTGTCGTCTTGAAAGGCCGATGCACGGTTGAGCAATTTAGGATTTGGTGGTGTGGAAGGGAATGCTGACTCAGGAGTCAGGAAGACCCATGTCCCAGCCACCTTTTTGCCACTAATTCAGTGTGGGACCTTAGGTAAGTTTCCTCCCTTCTAGCTAAGCCTCATTCCTTCTCTGTTTTACAGTCAAGAGCTTGATCCTAATGAACTCTTAACCTCCCTTCTGCTTCTGACAGTGATTCAAAGGTGATTTCCGTTTCGATTTGAGATCTGACTCCATAGGAGAGGAAAGGGTGGTGGGGGGAGTGTATACATGTTTGTTCACTGACTGACACAATTGCCCACTTGTGACACTGCCATGTTTGGGTGGATTCCCCTCCAGGTGAGGCAGTCCCAGCTCACTGCTGCATCCTCTCAGCCTGCAGCCCCTTCTTCACTGAGCGCCTTCAACGGGAACGGCCAGCCCAGGGCCGAAAGGTGGTATTAGAGCTGGGGGGCCTGAAGATTGGGATTCTTCGAAAGCTGGTGGATTTCCTCTATACTTCGGAGATAGAAGTCTCCCGAGAAGAAGCCCAGGATGTACTGTTAGCTGCCCGCCAGCTTCGAGTCTCAGAGCTGGAGTCACTACAGCTAGAAGGTGGAAAGCTGGTTCGGGCAGCACAGGGCAGACGATTAAATCGGGAATGCTTACAGCCCCCACCCAGTGCCCCAGTCTCTGCCCAGGTGGTTGGGCTCAGCCACCGCCCCCGAACTCCCCTGCCTCCTCCCCAGGCTGCCTGTTCCCCTGGGTCTGGGAAGCTGAAGCTCTTGGGAAAAGAGGAGGATCCCCAGGAGGAAAGCAGAGGGCAGAGTACAGAGAACTTGTCAGAGATGTCGGGCCCCTTTCCGATCAAGGGAAAAGCCAGGATCTGCCCTCCCACACAAGCAGGAAGCTCTTCACCGAAGAACCAGGGTCAGGGACCCAAGGAGAACAGGAGGGTGCCAGGCCCTGTAGCTGCTGAGCTTTTCCCACCCAGCCCCACTGTGGATGAACCTGTGTTGCCCAGGAAAATTAGGATAAGCCGCTCAAAACTCTCCCCTGATGTTTGTCCAGCCAAGTCCCCCAGTGCTGTAACAGGGCCCAGTTCAGCACCCGCCCCACCCAGCCGCCGTCTCTGGAGGCAGAAGACTTTGAGCAAGGAAGTCACAGAAGAGGAGCAGGGGCCAGGAAAAGCCAGCCTTCTGGAGGGGACCCGTAGTCCTTCCCTTCCACCCACGATGGGTGGGAATAAGCGGAGCCCTGAGGCTAGGGCAGCTAGCTCAGACTCTGCAGAGGAAGGACAGGTTGGAAGGGTCAAGCTTCGGAAGATTGTTAATGGAAGCTGCTGGGAGGTGGTCCAGGAATCTCCTTCCAGGGATTCTCAAGAGAGCCAACAGATCCCAGGGCCAGGGGGAGAATCTGGAGAGGAGACTCAGGCACCTGGGATGGGCCTCATGGAAGAAGAGGATAAACCATCTGTTGAAATCAGCTTGTGCCCGTTGGATTCCCCAGCTTGTTCGAGGCTCCAGGAGACGCTGATTCCTGCCAGTCAGTTTCCAGACCAGGCAGTGGTAAAGTCAGAATTTCCAGACGTCCCTGACACGGTGGGGAAAGAAGCTGTGTTGGGTGGAGACTGCAGGGAGCCCTACGACTTCGTTCCTGCTTTGCTGGGTCAGCCTTGTGAGGCAGAGGAATACCGAATCACCAGCGCTGCCGCAACCAGCGAGCTGGAGGAAATCTTGGACTTCATGCTCTGTGATTCAGACATTGGCCCTTCTGTAGATTCCCCGGAGAGTCCCAGGGCTGGAAACTCGAGGACCCCCACCTATCCCCTGAGTGAGCCTGAAAAGAACTGGGTAGAAGAATGGTGTTTACCAGATGTGGAGCTGTGGCCAAGAGAGTTTGCTGGATTAGAGAAGGACTTGGTCAGAGTCAGAGAGGATAAGGGATCTGTAGAGCCTCTCAGCCCCTTTGTAGCCTCTCATATGAGTGAAGGGGAAGGACTAGCAGTGCCCACCACGTGGACTTCAGAGCCTGGGTCTGCCAGCCCCCAGCCAGATGGGCAGGGAGAGAAACTGCTCTGCACAGAGTACCCTGTCCATTTTCATGCACCTTATGGAGACTTGTCACCTCCTTGCTCCAGCTGGGTGAACACTAGTTTTGAGAAACCCTCCGTCACCGATGATACACTGTACCCTGAAGGAGACCCTGTAGTGGCATGTCCAGAGATCCAGGAGGAAGAGGAGGAGCTTGATAACTCGGAGAAGCTGGGACTGTCCCCTGGTAGCCTAGAGGAAGAAGGGGAGGTTGAGGTAGTGGACTGGACAGCACAGGTTGGGCAGGTGCCCTTCCATGGCCTCTCTGTGTGGCCTGACCCCTCCTCAGAATCAGAAACGGAGGTAGATGTCTTGACGTAGTCGGGATTTCTCAGTCGGGTGGAAGTTACTCACTGAGGCTAGCAAGAGCTCCAGTGGCAGCAGAGGTAGCATGAAACAGTACATGAGTGAGGCAGGGATACTCCGCTCCACCAGGGGCTCTTTTTTAAAGGGACCCACTCCTTGCCCACCTTCCTTTTGCCTTGGGAATCAGGTGCAGGACAAGGATTATTAACTTGGGTAGGAAGTACTGGCCCATAGCCACCTACTAAGGTGCGTTTCCAATTGTATTGAAGGGGGGGAGGGGGGGAAGGTGTTCTAAATTACATGGTGACGGCCCATTCTGCCTTACTTTGGAATAAGGAGGGCAACCCATGACACGTACTGTGCTCATCACTTTTCACAGAGCTAGAGTACAGGCCTCCTACCAATAGCCTTCATCATGAAACATGAGCCTGGTAGGTATCCCTTAGTAACAGCTAATCCAGAAAAGTGAGCTGGAGGGCAGGCAGCCTAACCCAGATTCCCTAAGTTGGGAGGCATAGAAAACATCTTTCAGAAGAAAGTCAGTTTGGCAGAGCGGGAGGTTAAGGCGGGCGGATGGAACTGGGAAATGGCCCTAAGCAGGATCTTTCTAGCTCTTCATTGACGTTCTCAGGTCTTCACCCTCTGGTTGTCCAGACGGCTCCCTGCAAACCCAGGGGGAGGCCGTGTCTTCACTTCCAGGAAGTGTGTTGGGGGAGATGCACTGAACTTGCAATAAACAATTTTAAATTCTCCCTGTGGCTGATGTGTATCTCTCAGACTTCAAAGCAGGTATGTTCCAGGCTCTCTAGGCTGCCCCTCAAGAGGGAAGGGAAGATATCTGCCATCCACAGATCTGAGCTACTGGGAACCACCCTCAGAAATAAACGTCGCACTACACCAGCCTGAAACGTTCTGTATCAAAAACCCTTTATTGACAATTTAGCATCACCAGGTACACGGCGCGCCCGCCGCCGCTCCCAGAAGAAGGAACCGGAGCTTCAGGGTCATGACTGGGGGATTTGGTCATGCTCCGTCATGGACGCTCCAAACTCACTGGGGACAGACAGCTGCAACAGAGAAAACAAGTTAGGGGGCCAACTTTCGGGGAGGGAGTGAAGAGCAGGCCCTCAGGGCCCGTTCTGCTGTCTCTGCAAAGCCACGCCTGCCAGCAAGCCGAGGAAGACACGAAGCAAACCCACCCAAGACCGGCTTCCTTCTAAGACAAACCTTGTCACGGTTAGTCCTGCTCACTGGGAAGGCTCCTCACTTAAGCCACCTGGTTCTTAAGCTCCTTCACCACCTGCCCTGGCTCAGGAAACTTAAGTTTCCGTGGGGGCCCCTTTTTAATCCCGCTCCAGAGCTCCACCCCTAGGACGAGAAGAGAGAGCCTTGGGTGCCGGGACGCGCTTCTCCCATCAGCCCTCGGGCTCCTGCCGGTCTCCGCAGAGGCCCGGACTCGCTTGCACGTGCACACCGTTACTTAACCTTCAGGTGGGCCTCTCTTCGTCCCTGTGAAGGCAGCTCCGTGACCGAGTGCAGAAGAAACCAGAGCGTCGGCCTCGGACCCTCCCCCTGGCACCCGGGGAGTCTGCTCGTCTATTACGTTGAACGGGACCACCCACCATAGGTCCCCACAGCTGCGGCCCACGCTCGGCACCTCTCCGGGCCTCCCCGGGCGTCGTTTGACGAGAAGGCCCGAGCCTCGCGTGGGAGGAAGCGCTTGCCCGAGGTCCCTCCCCTCCCGAGACTGGGCCTTGGGGCCCGCACTCACGGCTGCCGTCGGGGCGCTGCAGCGTCACCTCGAAGCTGCTCCGGCGGGGCTTGGTGGGGTTCAGCAGCACGGGCAGCTCCGGGCGGGCGAGGCGCAGCGCCTGGCTCACCGCCTCCGCGTGGCGCGCGTACACGCGTCAGCTTCGGCTGCGGAGAGACCCGGGGGGGGACGTGAGCGTACGCGGGGGGGGGCGCTCCGGGGTACCGAGCCCCCTCCCCCACCGGGGAGCCCGCTTCCCTCCCTCCCCGCGCCGCACCAGTGCTCAATGACCACGCGGGCCTCTCCCACGCCCGCATCGCCGCCCTGTGCCAGCTTCTCCGGCTTCTCGGCTTCCTCGTCTGCCGCCGCGTCCGCCTTGCGCTTCCTACCGCGAGGAGCCATGGCGCGCGTGGAGCACAACGCACGCGTAAACCGCCGAGCCGGAATCCCCCGCCACCCCGCTCCGCGCGCAGTCTCCAGCCCCGCCGCCCCTCACGTGGAGGGCGGGCCCTCCGGGCGCAACCACTCGGCGCCAGAGTGCGGGGGTGGGGGTGGGGGAAACAGGTTAGCGATACCAGTGCTGCCGCTGCCCACCGTTCTGCGCTTTGGAGCAGCAGACCGCTCTCAGGAAAGCCCTGGGGGTGAGGGTGGACGGGGCCCATCGGCTCCGAAGCCTAGCAGACCAGCCGCGGCGGGGGGGGGGGGGTCGCTGCTTCTTTCCCCGCCCTCTCCAAGTGGTACGAGCCGCGCCCCTCCAGGTCACGTGGACACTCCCTTCCGCTGGTTCCCGGGCCCCTCCCATCAGGTCCGGCCCCATCACGCGTAAGCGCGGGCGGACTGGAGCTTGGGAAGAGGCGGGGCGCGGGGAGGCTGGGGAGGCTCCGCCCCGGGAGTCGGAAAGCGGCACTTCCCCCTGCCGATTTCTCTATCTGACGGGCTTGCGCACCGCACCACCTCTACCAGGGTACTTTAAATGGGAGGCCGGGTTTCTTACTCCGTAAAGTTTCAGGAAGGGGAGTCTATAGGAGTGTCAAGGGCTGGCCCATCCCCCCCAAAGACCCCCGTTATTGTGAGGAGGACTGTTTGGCAGCTGTTGTTCAGTTGTGACCCTATTTGGGCTTTTCTTGGCAGCGACACTGAGGTGTTTTTCCATTTCCTTCTCCAGCTCATTTTACAGATGAGGAAACGGACAGAGTAAAGTGACTTGGCCAGGGTCACACAGCTGGTGTCTTAAGGCCGCATTTGAGTTCAGGAATATCAATCTTACTGACTCCAACGCAAGCCCGGGCTGTATCCACCGCACCACTGTGGATAGCAGTAGATGCCCTATTAGTCGGCAGTCTGGGAGAAATTAGGGTTGGCCCAAAATCTAACGCCAAATAAGTCCCAAATGGATACATACCAGGTCACATCATCAACAAATTAGGAGAGCAAGTAAGAAATGACTTGTTGGACTGTGAAGGATAGCAAGGGAGTTCAGGGCTAAACAAGTGATAGAATCAGACAAGATAAAACTAACAATTCTGATTATATATAACTAAAAAGCAAACTAAATCTAATGAAGGAAAAATTAGATAAAAACAGGTAACTGGGGAAAAAGTCTTTCCAACAAGTTTCTGATAAAGGTTGCATTTCCATGATATACAATCCAAGTTTATAATAAAAGCCATTCCCCAACTGAAAAACAATCAGTTTTCAAAGGAAGAGCTATCAACAACCAAATAACACGTTCTAAATCTGTAAATAATCAGAAATGCAAAGAAGTGACTGCCGTTCTGCCTCACACCTCTCCAACAGGCAAAGATGATCAGGAAGGAGGAGCTCTGGGAAAAATAGATATACTCAGAGTGCAGTGTAGGTGAACCTGGGAATTGGTCCAGCCATTTTGAAATGCAATTTGGAACTGTAGCCACTAAGTTACTAAAATATGCACCCTTTGATTCAGCTATGCCATTACTAGAGCTATAGGCCCAAGAAATCAAAGGGGAAAAGGATAGATGTGAAAAAAGCATTTCTAGCAGCTTCTCGTATGGTAGTCCCAAATTTGAAACTCAGTGGGAATGGCTAACCAAATTGTGGCAAAGGGACGTAACAGAATATTACTGTGCTGTAAGAAGTAATGAAACAGGGCAGTTTCAGAGGAAATGAAGACCTATACAAACTGATGCAAAGTGAGCAAAATTATAACAATCCATACAATAATATTATAGAGAAAAAGTTCTGAAAGACTAAAAACTTTGATCAACCCAATGATAAACCACATAGGCAAAGGAACGAAGACGTAATATCCCACTCGCCACCTCCTCCTCACAGAGAGAAGGCTCACATTTCCAGACATAGCCAAAGTAGGAATTTGATCGGCTGGACTGTGCCAATGTTTACTGAAGTCTTTATTTTTTTTAGGCTTGTTCTTTTTATTTGTTCAATATTGAAGTGTGGAACATAGATTGATTGGGGAGGGGGAGAAATGAAGTTGATTAAAAAAAAAAAACTAAAGATAACCAATAAAAAGCATAACACCTCTGCCCTACCTAGGCCTTCCTCCTTCAGTCCCCAACGTGTTCTTGGTTTTCCTGGGCTCAAAATAAAGGAGTGTTGAAACTAATTAATTAACTACCTTTCTTAAAGCAACTTATACTCCATCTTTCCACACTCCCCTAGGGCAGTCCTGGTGTAAATGGATTTTATAATTAGTACCCAAATCAAAGTTAAGCTTCAACTCTTTACCAAATGTTAAATAGCAATAAGGAAGGCCAGAAAGACCTAAGAGAAGTAAGTCCACGATCCTGAAGATCTGTTAGTGGTACGTCTGACCCGAAACTTGTTTGGTCTGAAGGGTTTGCTATTTGCCTTCTGGAAGAACCACTGAAACCACAGGCTGGCAAAACCGTGACTTCTGGATTAACCCATTCTGTGTTCTTCCAGGCCCCCCAGTCCGTATTAAAAATGTTCACATTCAGATGGAAACTGCCTTCTTCCAAGATACGGAATTGATTTTCTTTCCCCTTTGGTGAAATTGCTGACCAAACTGGGGGAGATGCTTAGGCACAAAGGACATTCTTTTGTATGCCCTTCTTAATTCCTCCCCTACCCAGCCTTGGACCTAGTTCCATGTCTATTCCAGATAGGGAATAAATATAAATACTAAAAGGCATCAGTCTGTTTAGTCCCTCAGTCACAGGAAGGGAAGGGCCTGAAAAGGCAACCAGGAAAAAGCTGGAGGAAGAAGGATCTCTGGAAGGGCAGAGCTCCTATTTGTCCTTCTTGCTTTCTTCATCTGGCTGCGTGTGAGGAGCAGCAGACTCAGATGGCTCCTCAGGGATTGCATCTCGGGTCTTGGTCTGCTTCTTGGCACGCTGATACAGCTCATTCAGGCTGAACTCCCGGATCACGTTCTCCTATGGGAAGGAGACAGACACACACACACATAGAGACACACTGAATCAGAGATTCAGATTAGGTGAGAAATGATTATTAAATAACCAATTAGGGAGATCTAGGGTTTTTCCCCTTTCGATCTCATTCTCCACTGGGTCAAGTCAGCATCTGAAGGACCCTGCACATAAAGAGATCAGATCAACTTTCTCTTTAATCTTGTTCTGACCCCCAAGTGGGGAAGCCCACTGAGTTCTACTCAGGCTTGTGAGGGAGAGAGATTAAAGACACGTCCCCCAGTCCCTCACCAGAACGGGTCTGCCTCTCATTATAATATCTACTCTTATTGTTAACTAATCAAGAGTTGAATGCCACGCTCAGGAACACCCATTCTTTTCCAAGGGCATATAAACCCTTGAGTGGGTTCCATGAGGGGTCTTTGGCATCTGAGAGTGCTACTGACCCCTTTTATTATCTGCCAGCATAATTAATAAAATGATTAACTACCCAGAAACTATGTCACTCACACTTATGTCACAGGTGAAGTCCAGAACCTCTGCTGGTTAGCTGTGCCTCCCTTATATTTAGACACTACTTAAGGAGAAAGAATCTAGATGCCTCAAAAGCTGTTCTAGATGAAAGCTGTGGGAAATGAGGGAGAGGCCTTCACTTTTCCACCCTCCCTGAGCATTAGTACAGTTTAGCATTAAAAGGAAAAAGCATCCCCATCCCTAGGCTTCTGTAAGTACCTCTGAGAAAGTCCAAGAGACAGCTCGACCTTTCTTGTCAATCTGGGGTCTCCTCATCACTTCTTTCCCGCCCTGGAACAGGATGAGGGTGGGAAGCTGCTTGGTGAGAGGTGACGTGCTCACTTTGTAGCTGAAAGGGAAATGAAGGGTTACGTAAGCTCATCTCCAAGCACGTTCCTGTTCATTCCTTTGCCTGGGGCACCACATACCGAGTACTGACGTCAGGGTACCGCCCGACATCCACTTTCCCAAAATTCAGTCCCGTACAGTTGTACCTGGCAGGGAGACATTAACATTAATGTACTGAACAAGCCATAAAGCAACCGACTCCAGGGAGGGAGAGTGGTGACAAATGGAAGGAAAGGCCCTGATTTTTCATGTTCAACATATTTTAGTATTCAAGGGCTTTGGGTGGAGCAGTCCATGCAGCATTCAGGACTGAACAACGGTGAGGGGGCTGCTGTTTCCACTGTCCCTTCTGGTGTGCTACTCACTTGAGGGAGAGGTCAGCATAGATAGGAGCAAATGACTGGCACTCATGAGACCAATTGGCAAACAACTCCACAATCCACGTGATACGCTTGTCCCGTTCCAGCTCTTCCTGCCATGTGCAAGGTAAGTCATATCTGTCACCTGGATGATATAGGCCCCTGAGGAATCTCAGACCCTAGTATCTGAATCCTCACCCTCTCTGCCACACAAACACATAAACCACGTTACATTCCTGATCCGGGGGCACAAATTCCCAAACGCAGACGTTCCCCACCCAACACACACGCCTTCCCCAGGATCTCAGGGGACAGAAAGAACGACAACTCACATCAATCGTCTTGTCATTGAAGTACTTGATGTATTCAGGGCCCATGTAGAGGGGGGGTTTACAAGTCATCAGGAACACTAAACACGGAAACAGAGCATAAAAAGCAGCTCGAACCTCTCTGCAGGCCTGCAGTCCCTGCCTCACTGTAGGAACACACAGTCCCCAAAACACCACTGCATGTTCCTTTAGAGATAAGCCTGAGGCAACTGAAGGGGCGTAAAGACTTAGGGGAAAGAATGAGCCATCTGCTTTTTGATCAGGACCAGGTCCCCAGTCAAGTAAATGCCCAACCTAAAGCAGATCAGCCCATTTCCCCACAGAGTTAAAAAAGCCAGCGCCCTCACCTATGCAGAGCGTGACGTAGAGCAGGCCCATGCGAATGTCCAGGCGGAAAAAGAGGATCGCGTTGGCGACTTTACTGAACATGAAGATGTTACCTAGATGCTGCTCCACAGTGACTGAAACGCAGACGCCACAGGTCAGGCTGGAGCTGAGTGATCCTGTACCACCTTCCCCGTCCCTGTCTCCGGAGCAACTTTACCCCAGGTTTGGAAAGCTGCTTCCACAGGGCCTCAGGCCCAAGCAGCCTGGCTCCGCCCCACCACACCATGCTCTTCCAATGGAGAAGAAGAATTAGCATGGAAAAAAACCAGCCAGAACTGATAGTGGAGCTCTTCACCCACAATGAAGTCAGTGGATCTTCCCAACTGTCTCACTTCAGCTATTAATATCCCTACTGCAAGACGGGGTAAATGACCACTCCTCCCCAGCCCAGACTTTGCAGAGAGGATGAAGAGCAGCGGGGCACACTCACTTGATCTCCGGTTCTTCATCATTACGATGGCACTGAGGAACATTAAGATCTCCACCTCCCTCTGTAAGAGAATCACAGTGACTGCACATGAAAAACCATGGCAGAGAGACATAAACTGAAAGGTGACAGCAGCAACAGGTACTTAGGCACTGACTCAGCATGGGTCCCATGGAGAACTGGGAAACAGCTGCAAAGTTATAGAAAAATTGATACGAGAGAGTATTTATTGTGACATTCTATTAAATTAATATATCTGTCTCCCTCATATAGGGTGACACAGAGTGCTTCTCTGAAGTTTTCAAAGAAAAACTGTACCTTTTCTTCTGACACCAGTATAGAGGTTGTCATTGTCTTATGCTCTAACCCCAACTTCCTAAGGGTATGAGGTGGCGAGGGAGCATTATGTTTACAGATTAATATGTCTCAAAACATTGGGAAATTGTGAAACTCTCCATGCCTATGAAGCATGAGTCAATGCCATCTCCTCAACAAACAAACATACCTATTTTTTGTATGGCGGCCTTTAGTCTTGCCAAAAGTCTAGCTACCAACTTGGAAGCAGCTCTCTGAATGAGACAAACATCAGTGATCACTGAACTGCTAACAGTCCAGTCAGGAAGAATTCTGAAGAGACTTTCATACGAAAACACAATCATATTTCACTACAGGTAATCAAATTATTCTAGCCTTAGGAATAAGCATTGACCTGGGGCAACTTTATTATTTTGGCTCTTTTAGGAATACCATTGTCAACAGCAGAGCAGTCATTCAACCTGCTTCAATCTCAATGTAACACAGAGGTAAGCAAATGAGCCCAACTAACATGAATACCACAAAGAAGGCAGGTACTTCAGCTCACATCTGGATTTTCTGCCCCAATTCTCCATCTTCAATGAAGGGCAGACGGGATGAACACTGGTGAGTCTCGTGCCTGAAGCAGAAACTAGAGAAGGTTTTCATCCGATCAGCCTTTTATTACGTGCCTACACGTGTCAGGCACTATGCTAAGCACTGGGGATACAAAGGAAGGAAAAAACAGTTTCTGCCCTGGAGAAGCTCAGCGTCTAATGGGGGAGTGGAAGTGTTCAAAGTTGGAGATCAAGCCTGAGGTTAGACAGAGGAAGAGAGGGCAGGAAGGAAGAGACAAGGAAGAAGAAAGACAGTGCAAAATTGTTCACAGATTCAGAATTTTACTGTAGGTCGGGACGACCTCACCTATTAGACATATATTGGACTTCCCTTCATTTTATAGATAGGGAAGACATTTCACCTCTGGACACTGGTCTACTGAAGGCCACAGGTTCAAAGGTGGAAATATCATGAAGAACAGCAGAAACAAACATTTATTAAATGGCTGTAAGCAACGAATTATGGTGGGCCCTGGAGGGGTGGAGGAGCTCACGAAGTTTAGTGAACTGCCTCAAAGTACTTTGTAGGGCATGGGAAATAAAGTCTGGTGAAGCAAAAGTAACTTCCCCTAACTCTTTGTGAGGAAATTGAGTCCAGGTGGTAAAATGACTTGCCAGAGGTCATACCAACATTATGTGTCAAGTACAAAACAGAATACTGCCTGAATTGTGGGTGGATGGGGGTAAGGAGGGTAAGAGACAGGGAGAGAGCCTTCTGGGAAGGCTTCCTGGAGGAGGTAGCATCAAAGTTGGATTTTAAACCAGTAGGAATTCAAATAGCAGAGGTGGGAGGGAGAACACTCCAGTAATAAGAACAGAGCACTCTGTGCTGCAGGGAAGGCAAGAAGTGAGAGGTAAAGCTCTACTGTTTGGCTGAAGCAAAGTGTACCTGGATGGAGAGTAACAGGAGAGTAAATAACATGGGCTGGAACTCAAAAAAGCAACAGGCCAATAAAGGTCTCATTTCTGAGTTGTGGAGAGAGCAGATTCAAATTTATCAGAGTAAGAACCATTCCTCAAACAACAAATGGTCAAAGGATCTGAACGGATCTCTTCAGATGAAGGAATCCATGCTATCACTCAGCTATCGAAAGCTGTATGAAAGAAATTCTCCAAACCACTAATAATTAAGAGAAATGCAAATTAAAACAACTCAGAAGTTCTACCTCACAGCCATCAGACTGGCAAAACTGACCAAAAATGGAAAATAACAAATACTGTAGGCCCGTAGGGAAAAATGGCAAAATACACTGTTGAGGGAGCTATAAACTGGTGCAGCCATTTGGAACTATGTCCATAGAGCTATTAAACTGTTCATAGCAATACCTAGCAATGGTTGATCTAGCAATATACCACTACTATGTCTCACTGGAAGATAAGAGGAAAGGACCCACATATACAAAAATATTTCTAGCAGCTCTCTTTGCATTTGAAAGAACAGGCACCTGAAGGGGTGCCCATCAACTGGGGAATGGCTGAACAAATGTTGCTACAAGAATGTGACAGAATGCTAGTGGGCAGTAAGAATGAGGATGCTGACAGTTTCAGAGAAGCCTATGAAGACTTGTATGAATTGATGCAGAGAGAAGTGAGCAGAACAAGGAGAACAATTATACAATAAGAGCAACATGGGCAAGATAAACAGTTGCAAAAGACTTAGGAATTCTGATCAATGCAGTGACCAACCACAATTCCAGAGTACTCCCTGTTTCTTTCTTTCTTTTTTGTTTTGTTTTTTTTTTTTGCTTTTTGGTGAGGTGATTGGGGTTAAGTGACTTGCCCAGGGTCACACAGCTATTAAGTGTCAAGTGTCTCAGGCTACATTTGAACTCAGATCCTTCTGACTCCAAGGCCAGAGCTCCATCCACTACACCACCTAGCTGTCCCTCAGAGAACTCCTGATGAAACATGCTACCACATCCTGACAGAAGGGACAGACTCAGAGGGAAGAATGAGACAATTTATTCGATCACAGGTCAACGTGGTAATTTGTTTTACTTGAACATATACATTTGTAACAGGGGTTGTTTTTTCTTTTTTTTCTCACAGAAATGGGATGTGGGTCAGGGAACTGGAGTTGAGAAAAGGTGGATGTTTGTTGACTGAAAAACAAAATTTAATTATAAAAAGGCAAAAGGGAAGATTTTTCACCTAACAACATAACTCAGTCTCGGGGCAAATATATTTATACAGTGGTATGGAGGAAGAAGAATAGATGCAGAAAACTTTCCAGGAAGTTATGGCAATATTTCAAGAGGATGAGAAAGAGGCTAGAACTAGGATACTGGCCACATGAGCAAAGACAAGAGGTGGAATGAGGAGGAATGTCATTGTAAGGGAAACTGAGGAGAGATCCTCCCCAGCCCCTGGTGTAACTGCCTCATTACCTGACACAAAGAATGTAAATTGGAGTCAGCCTACATGGCCGAGGGTACCATGGAAATGGAACATTAAACACCTAACAAATTATGTTACCTGGGAAAACAATCCTTATCTCAGGGAACATTTTTCTCAAAAAGAATGTGTATCTGTCCAGAGACCTGATCACTCCCTGGAAACTTACACAACAAACAGGTAGTCGGAGCTCTCATCAAGCTCCAACCTTTGTTAGAATGTGTGTGTACCCTGGATCTGAGTAATCACCAGGGAGATGTACACAAAACAAGGTGTGAAGATTGTTTGTCCCTGGTTTACACAGCTATAAAAAAGGGTCATTTCAAAGGAAGATTTTGGAGTACTTTGATGCAGAGATAGGGATGCCGACTCTCTGCCAGAGGCGGATCCCATGCAGTCTCCATTGCCTCCCAGACCAGACCCATTGGGCCATGTCCAGTCTCCCCAGTTCTATGGGTATTTGAGCTCACCTGGTCAGTGAATGTGTATCCTTTGTTTTCTTATTCCTACTTTCCTTTATATTGATTATTACTTATTGCATTGAATGTTATTCTTACCTTTATTACTTGTGTGTTTTTTAATCTTTATTAATCATTGTAAAATAAATGTGATTGTTTGTTAAGTTTATCCTGAGTATGTGTCATTATATCTTCAGATCCAAACCTAAATTGAATCTGCGCAGTAGGTAATCCTTTCGATTACAGTCTATGAGACTGTGAGTTCCCAGGACAGGAAGAATCATTTTGTGCACCCTTATAGTCTCACGTGACGGTTGTGAGGTTTGTGATTACTACAGAAATGGGAGGTAGGTGGGTGTTCTAATTTCTTATTATTACATCAAAGGATACTCCTACAAGAAGGCCTGATTAATTTCTATCTCCATTAGGATGGGACATAGTGCTAAGTATACAATAGACACTTAATACAACATGATATACTAGAAAGAACCCAGGGCTTAGAAGTCCACAAATCCGAGCATGTATTCCATCTCCACTACTCAGTCAAGTTGCTTCCCCAATAGGCCTCCATTTCTCAAGCTGTAAACGACAGAATGGACTAGATCAATCTCCAGCGTCCTTCCAATTCTTAAAGCTCTTTAAACTGTTGTGAGGAGTAATGTGTCTCAAGCTGGGCCAGGATTTGGGTTGGCTGAAAAAATGAAAGGAGGATGGGGAAAAACAGCAATATGAACATTGCCGAAGAAGGAGGGATGAGCGTTCAAATACGTGATGAGCTGTAACTAAGCTCAGAGAGAAAGACAGCATGGTTTAGTGAAAAGACCAATGGATTTGGGGTCAAAAGACTAAATGATCTATGAAAAGATAAAACAATTATATTATCAATGATTAAATGGCCAACCACGAGTCTGGGAGGATTAAAGACAAAGCAAGCTACTCACCTCCTGAAAGGTGATGGACGAAATGTGCTGGAAGAGAGATTTTTTTAGACATGGCTAACAAGGAAATTAATTTTGCTATTAAGATTTTTTTTAATGAGAAGTGGTAAAAGGGAGAGAAAATAGCCTTTTGTTCATTAAAAACTTAAAGGGATTAAATGACAGTGAACAAAAGAAGGAATCAGTCTTCTGTTTAAATCCCGGCTCCGCTACTCAGTGCAGTGTGACAGACGATGGGGAGTTTCTTAACTTTCGGGCTCTACTCTAGGATCCAAGGATGGTTCTCACACAGGACTGCCCATATCTTCTTGTCCCCTATGCCTACAAGGTATTTACCACCATCACCTCTTAAAATCTCTCCTTTCCTTCCTCAGCTCAAGTTAGGCACCCCACCTCCCGTTACTTTATACGCGCTTTAAACGTGTGTGTGTATTTATTTACTTAACAATTCTGTCTCTTCCAACAGAAGGTAAGCTCCTCGAAGGCAAGGACTGCTGACCTGGAAGAAACTGACTGATCCTACGACTTGGGTTCATGCCTCAAGTACGAAAAACGGAGTCACGTCATTTCCCCTCTTCAGGCCTCAGTTTTCCCACAGCAACAATTTCTTTTCTATGTTGGCTTAAAAGACCGGAAAGGGCGCTCCTTACAGCAGAGGCCACAGGGCCTTAGCTCTGGAGCTCGGGTCATCTGGGGCAATTCTCATTTTGCAGGTGAGGAAACCTAGTCCTGGTGGGATGAAATGAGCCGCCCAAGGTCATGCCGACAGGAACTGGTGGAGCTCGGATCCATTTGGCGACTCTCCCGCACCTTCTAAATCCGTACGGCCCCTGCCACCCCGCCCCAGTTACGGCCCGGAGCTCCGGCGGGGCACTCCCACCCTGCCCTTCGGTGACCCTGCAGCCACTTCTTCCGCTCACCCAGTCAAAGTCGCAGGGGTTGCCGTCCTCGCGCTGGGTGGGGAGACCGAGGCAGACCGGCGGCAGCTTCCTCACAAGCAGGAAGGCGACCGACAGGAACGCCGACAACAGGTAGTACGGCTTGGCCAGCCATCGCGACAGCCTCGGCACCGAATACAGCAGCGCCAGCAGCGGGGCCAGCACCGCCATCTTCTCTCCTCTGAAGCAGCGACCGCCGCCGCCGCCGCCGCCCCGTCGGCTGCTCAGCCAAAGTACCTGCCGGACGCCCAACCTGTCCCTCGACCTCCTGCCATCCGGGCCTCCCGATTGGGCTGTGCCTCTGTCGCTCCGGAACCTGCGCCAGGAGCTGAATTATGATTGGATACGGCTGAAAGAACGGCCTTTCGGAAAGGCTGCCCTCTCACGGCTTCCCTCTCCTGATTGGATACTGTGAACAGGGCAGGCGGGGAGATGGGCGTTCTCTAGCTTCACTTCCTCCTATGTCATCTTAGAGCGACGGAAGTTCTTCGGCCAGTGGAGCCAGACGCATCCAATAAATAGAGGCTCCGGGAAGTGGAGGGCGGTGCTGCGCTAGAGGGTTGTCCAATGAGAGGCCGCGGCGGTGCCAGGCTCCGAGTGGGCGGAGGCGGCAGCGGCGGCGGCGGTGGCGGTGGCGGCAGAGCGGTCGATGCGATGGAGAACTTCACAGCGCTCTTCGGTGCCCAAACCGAGCCGCCGCCGCCGCCCCCAGCCGCGCTGGGCTTTGGGCCGGGGAAGCCGCCCCCTCCGCCGCCTCCTCCTCCGGGTGGGGGCCCCGGAACGGTCCCGCCGCCCGCTGCGGCCCCAGCCCCGCCTGGATCTGACAAGGCCGCAGCTGGCTGTGGGCCCTTTTACCTGATGCGGGAGCTCCCAGGTGAGCACGGCTGCTCTTGGAAACCAGCCAGTCAGCTCCTAGGGGGGCGTGAAGGTTGGGGCTGTAGGCCAATGAGCGGAAGCGACAAATAATGAGGCAAAGAGGGCGGAGATATCGTAGGTATTTCTGTAAGTCAGAGAGTCGAGGGGGCGGGACCGAATGAGCGGGCCAGCCAATGAACGGGCTTGAAGCTCATCGGGCTGATGGGAGTCTGGAGGACCTGGGTTCTAAACTTACTTCTGATATTTTGGCTTGCTGTGCTGCCCCGGCATCATGCTCGAAAGTGAGCTACCCAAACAGTGCAAGTTGTGAAAGAGGTTCGATGCGAAGCAGGATCTGGCATGTCAAGCTAGCCTGACATCTCATTGTCCACTGCTGACTGGCTCCCTTCCCAAATGTGGGCGGGTAATCTAATTCGTGCGGACCCGCCTACTGAATTTTGGGGCAAACTTGTCTTCCTTGCCTAGCCAGCCACAAGCTAAGCTGTAGCGGGGCACCTTGGTCCAGCATGTGGACGGATCAGTAGAGATGCAGTTCCAGCCTGGTTAGAGAGGTCGTGGTGCTTATCAAGAATCTCTTGAGGAATATTGGCTCTGTGTTCCCGTAGATAGAGGCATTTGTCACGGTGCAGAAGCTAACCTAAGCCTGTAGACCTACCCTAACTTGGCGAGGGTGGAAAATTACTGATTAAAGAAGGGTACTCCCACATCTGTTGGGAGCATCTGGAACCATTGCAAGATCTGTACAGGGGGTGAGGGAGGAGGTGACAGTGCTAACCGGATGGTTAGCTGAGCTCAACCTTGAAGTTCTTCATAACCTTAAAGAAAAAGGAGAGTGTATTGCCCTGGGCAGGCTAGAGGAGAAAGGAGAACTGGAAGCAGAATGGCTAGGTTTTTTTTTTTCCAGGCTAGGCAGTGGGGTTAAGTGACTTGCCCAGGGTCACACAGCTAGTAAGTATTATGTGTCTGAGGCTGAATTTGAACTTAGGACTTCCTGAATCCAGGGCCGGTGCTTCATCCACTGCACCACCGAGCGACCCCCGGAATGGTCAGTTTTTAAAAATCCTTGTCATAAGTCTAGGAATGAGCTAAGAGTCCACTAGAGTGTTAGAAGGATTGGAATGGAAAGGATGGTTAAATATAAGAGAGTTATAAGCAAAGTATCAACAGAACTTTATGAGTTTGGATATAGGAACAGGAGAGAACGAAGTCAAAGATGGTTAAGATTTCAAACCTGGTTGACATAGAAGGGTAGTACTAGGTGCAGTAGAAAGTGTTGAATTCACTTCAAAAAATCAAAATTTAAAAAAAATCCTTTTAAATCCTGGCTTTGCCACTGATTCCCCGTGGAACCGTGGATGAACCACTTAACCTGTTGGGATTATTGACCTCTTAGTTCTCTGCAAAATGTAACATGAAGGGGTTGGACTGGATGATCTCAAATGTTCCTGCTAGCTCTAGGTCTAAAACTGTGCTTCCGTTACCATTGGCAGAAATTGATAAGTAAGAAGATGGCAGTATAGAATAAATATTTCAGGGGCAGGTGATGAGTTCTGTTTTAGAAATGTTGAGCTTGCCAAGATATAGAAACAATTAGCAGATAAATATAATACCAAAAGCCACTCCCCAATAAATAAATGGTCAAAGAATATGAACAAACAGTTCTCAGAAGAATTGTAAACTGTTAGTAACCATATGAAACACTGCTACAAATCAGTGAATAATAAGAGAAATAGTGTCTGAAGCTGGCTTTGAACATTGACTCCAGGCTCAGCACTCTATCCATTGCACCACCAGGAGTGATCAACAGACATATTTTTATTTTAAAAAAATTAGGAAAAAAAATGTTGAGCTTGAGTGGACCAGAGGAACCGAATAGAATTGTCTCACAGGAAGTTAGAGGTACAGAATTGAGAAAGAAGTGACAGTTGGAGATAGAGGTGTGCCGTCATCCTCACAGGTTAAGATATTGGAAAGCAAGAGTATGGATGGGTGAGTTCTCCAAGGTAAAAGGAGAGAGTAGAGGGCTAAGAACCGAACCCTGGGATGTGAGTCCCATGAATCACATTTAGTAGGTAAATTGAGGACCATAGATAAGATTGACTAGAGAAATAGGAAGGGGACTGGGATTCTGTAGTGTTCCAGAGGCCAAAAGAGAAGGCTTTTGAAGGTCAGCAATATCAAAGGCTTCAAGAAAGTTAAGGAGGAAGCAAGGTGGATTTTGTGCTGCCTCCGAGAAGGGCTCAGAGGCCGTGCTGGCCACCTCAGACCTGAACATGGATCCTCTGTCAAGGACCCCTCTGTTGCTGTTGAAGCGTTTTTCAGTCATGTTCTACTCTTTGAGGTTTGCCATTCCTTCTCCAGCTCATTTTACAGATGAGTAACTGAGGCAAACAAGGTTAAGTGACTTGCCCAGGGTCACATAGCTAGTGTGTAAGTCTGAGGCCTGAATTTGAACTCAGGAAAAGTTCAGATTCCTTCCTAATTTTACCACCTAGCTGCCCCCAGATATCTCTAAGAAGAAGTTATTCAGCGTGCAGTGAGGTGTGGGGTGAGGTGTTCCACTACTAGGTGATTAAGAGGTCACTGGTGAGCTTTGAAGAAACCCAAGTCAATATAGTCCATTGACTGCATAGGGTCACCCTGTAAATGTTAGGAACTGGAGACCACAGGTGTGGACCATGCCACTGTTTGGTCTTAAAAGGAGACAAGTCCCTCGAGGAATTCGGAGTATATGAGGCCTGTAAGGCACTTGGAAAATCTCTAACGCGAGGCCTTCCTGGCAGACCCTTTCATGGTGTCACTTTATCAGTTAACAAGTTCCCCCCTTTGGAGGCAGAGCTCAGTCAGAGACAGCATTTTGGACACCCTGACACAGATGTCCTCTTAAACTCAACATGTCCACAGTGGAGCTCATGATCTTTGCCCCCAAATCCTTCTCTTCCCACTTCCCTGTGACTGTCAGTAGCACCGTGCTCCCCGTCACCCTGGCTCATAACCAAGTTGTCATCCTAGGCCCCCCACTCTCTCTCACTCCCTTTACCCAGTCAGTTGCCAGGCCTGTCAGAATTACCTCCGTTAACGTCTCTCGTTTACACCCTCTTCTCTCCTGTGACCCTGCCACCTTCCTGATGCAGGCGCTTGTCATCCCAGCCCTGGCCCACTGCAGTAGCTGCTGATGGGTCTGCCTGCCACAGTCTACCCACTGCAGAGCACATTCTACTAGGCTGTTGAAAAGTGAGCTTCCTAAAGCACAGGTTTAACCATGTATGTCCAGTCCCATCCCCATGCTCTCCCCTGCCCTGCCCCCACCTCAGTAATCTCCAGTAGCTCTCTGTTACCTCCAGGATCAAATATGAAACCCTCTGTTTGGATTTGAAAGCCCTTCATCGCTTGCCTAACTCCCCTCCCTTGTCTTTCCAGGTGCTATGACTTTCTTAAGGTCAGATATCACGTTAGCCACCTCAAAGACTAGAAAATCGTAATGCAGTGATCTTTTTACAGTGCAAGAGCATCCGGTACTGGCAGCAAAATATAAATAGGGCATTTCCACCCCCAAATTAATTGGGAATTAACTGGGTGAAGGCGTTTGATGTTTCTGGGTCAGAGAATAAGAAGCTGAAAGTTCCTCAGGAAGTAAAGCAAGAGTAGAGAACTTTCACCCGCAGCCCTTACGTTAATGTCCCGTTGCTTGGTGCAGCTACTGTTCAGAAAACCTTGATTGTCTTAGCGGATTGCTCTGCTTAGTACATTCAGAATAGAGCCTTATCCTAAAGGTTTCTCAAATAGAGAAAATGGTCAGTTCAGTGCTGCTATGATGGAAGCCCACGGCCCCAGGGGAGCTGCGTGCAAACCCCAGACTTCTGGCGACTCGCAGCCTCCCTGTCTTTTTCTCATTCTGCATCTGTCATCTCCCTTGCGCTTTCCCGTGTATCTCCTCTCTCACCTGTTTCTTCTTTTCTGTCTTTCAACCTGCCCCCCCTCCCCAACCTGCCCCCTCCTTTCTTCCTGCCCCTATTCGAATCAGGCCATAACATGGAACTAGTTTAAAGTCCCGTGAATATAAAGGCATTTTTACGTTATTTTTTTAAATGTCTGCCATATTTAGGAATTGTATCATTTGAGAGTTAGGATAGAAGAGTTTGCCTAGGCCAGGGGTGGGGAGCCGGTGGCCTCGAGGCCACATGTGGCCCTCCAGTTGTGGCCCTTTGGCCGAATCCATACTTCAAAGAACAACTGTTCTGTGGTATTCCGTGAAGTTTGGATTCAGTCAGAGGGCCACACTGGAGGGCCACATGTGGCCTCGAGGCCACCGGCTCCCCGCCCCTGGCCTAGTCCAACCTTTATTTATTGAAGAAACTGAGGCAAAGAGAGGCAGGTGACTTCCGGTTAGTTCATATAGCCACTAGTTAGCGATGGAGCCAGCCCTCATTCTAGTGCTCCCTGGGCCAGTTCAGTGTCTTATGTTTGTCGTAAGGAAGCAGATGCGTGAAGGAGCTCGTGATTCTCCTCCTTACTTCCTGGCAGCGGCTCTCTGTTACCTGTTCAGCTCTCTGAATCCTCTTTCCTTCCCCTTTCTCTGCAGGCAGCACGGAGCTGACAGGTAGCACCAATCTAATCACGCACTACAACCTGGAGCACGCCTACAATAAATTCTGTGGGAAGAAGGTGAAGGAGAAGCTGAGTAACTTCCTGCCTGACCTGCCGGGGATGATCGACCTGCCCGGCTCCCACGACAACAGCAGCCTCCGTTCCCTCATCGAGAAGCCCCCCATCCTTGGGGGCTCTTTCAACCCTATCACGGGCACCATGCTGGCGGGCTTCCGCCTGCACGCCGGCCCGGTGAGTCCTGCAGCCGGGGCGGAGGGGGGGGGCTGCACTCAGAGGGCACAGCCTCCACCTCTACTCATGGCGCCTCTGGGCCCTTCTTCCAGCTGCCAGAGCAGTGTCGCCTGATGCACATCCAGCCCCCCAAGAAGAAGAATAAGCACAAGCACAAACAGAGTCGTGCCCAGGACCCTGTCCCCCCAGGTAAGAAGCTGCTGCTGAAGGCCAGAAAGCTTTCTCATCTTCTGCGTCTGCTTCTGGCTGCCCTCAAGCAGTCTGAAAACAGTAGGCACTCACATTCCTCTGAGCACTGCCCTCACAAAATCCTGTAAGGTAGCTAGTGCAAGGACTATAATCCCCATTTTATAGCTGAGGAAGGTGAGGCCCAGAGAAGGGAAGTGACTTGCCCAAGGCCACACAGCTAGGAAGTCTCTGAGCTGGGATTTGAACCCAGGTTTCCTGATTCCAAGTCTAGGGCTTTTTTTTTCACTGTGCCATGCTGGCCATTCTCTTAACACAAAGCTCCTGCTGAGTGCCACTTTTATACTCCAGGAAGAGCCAGTACCCTGGGGGGGACTTGACAATGAGTCCCTGGTAGAGCCTGAGGCCCCCTTTCAAGCCACTTGGAAAATAACAGTTGTCCTTGACTCAGTTTTCATGTTGGCTTTTGAGTTCATAAGCAGTAGGAACTCTACAGGTGATACTGTCTCCTATAGAAACTCCATCCGATTCGGATCACAAGAAAAAGAAAAAGAAAAAGGAAGAAGATCCTGAGCGGAAAAGGAAGAAGAAAGAAAAGAAGAAGAAGAAGGTAGGCTAGTGGTCTCTTCCTGTAACCCAGTGAGGTCCTGTGTATCTTGTTTTTATCTTAAGGCGAATCCAAGTCCTTTCCCTCAGGTGGTGGACCTGCGGACGGAACCCCATGGGATCGTAGGCCACTCACATTGTGTAGGGCTTTAAGGGTTACCAAACGCCTTCCGAACAACAGCCCTAGGACCCAAGTAGTACAAGTATTATTGATTGTACCCATTTTACAGTTGAGGAAACTCCCTACCGCAACTGTTGCAGACCTCGTCTTTCAAGTCTCCTCCACCTCCTCCTTCCCCACTCACTCTCAGTAGAGGACTTGGTGCCTTCCGTTACCGAGAAGGCAAAGGCAGTTTGTCCTGAGTTCCCTTTGCTCCCTCAGAACTTTCCTGCAGTATGCCTCCTTCTCTTCCTTCGCTCGAGTCTCTGCCAGAGATGGTCCTTCTCTTTGCCCTGAGCCCCATCTTGGATCTCTCCTGGGGGCTTCATTCCTTCAGTCACCTCCTGTCTCTCTTCCTCATCTTCAGCTTCTCATTATCTCCTGGCTGCTCCTTTGTTGCCCAGAAGTAGGCCTAGGTCTCCCTCAGCCTCAGAAAACCTTCACTTGACTGGCTCAGCCTCTACCTCTCTTCCCTTCCAGTCAAACTCCTAGAAAAGGCCGTCTTTGTTTGTTGCTTCCATTTGCTCTCCTCTTACTCCCCAGTCCTTTGCAGTCCGCCTTCTGACCCCCCCCCCCAATGAAAGCTGCTTTCTTCTAGGTCACCAGGTATCTCTGAAACGCCAGCTCTGACGGCCTCCACCCAGTCCAGGCAGCTTTTGACATTCAACCATTCCCTCTTCCTTGATGTTCTCTCCCCCATGGGTTTTCCTGCCACTGCTCTCCTGGTTCTCCTCCTACCTGCTTCGCTAGTCTTCCTCAGCCTCTTTTGCTGGACTGTGTGCACCCCACTCTGCACCTCAAAGAAGCACCCCTTCTCTCTTTCCACCCTGTTTCTCAGTGATCTCCTCAGCTGCCACGGGTTCAGTGAGCGTCCCAAGGGAGACGGCTCCCAAATCTATATATCCAGCCGTGCTCCAGGCCTGCCTCAGCAACTGCCTGCCCGACAGCTCTACCTGGATGTCCCATCAGCATCTCAAACTCAGCGTCTCCAAAAAGGAACTCGTTGTCTTCCTCTCTCGTGTACGCTGCCCTGTTTCCTATCGCTGGCACCACCATCCTAGGCACCCCGCCCTGTCATTCTTCTTGGCTCTGCCTTCTCTGCCCCTCACGTCCAGTAGGTGTCGTGTCTTGTCAGTTCTGCCTCCACGTCTCTTCCATCCATCCCTTGTCTCTACTCGTAGTCGTGACCCAAGGCCAGGCCCCCATCACCTCTTGTCTGAACGACTGGCTTCCCGGCTTCCAGCTTTTCTCCTCTCTTTGCCATCTTCTTCAACTGCCGTGATACTTTCAATGCACAGGTGGGTCCATGTCACACATCGCATTCCTTGATCAGAAACCTTGAATGTGTTTCCTGTGACACAAGACAAACTTCTCGACTAGGCACTGATAAGGCCTTGACGGTCTGCTGTTGGCCTGCCTTTGCAGACTTCTGTCCTGTTACTCACCTTCGCTCACACAGTCTACTTTTTAGTCTAATTGGCCTGCTTGCTGTTCCCCAAACTCAGCGTTTCATGTCCTGACTCGGTGGTACCTTTGCACGGTCTGGCCATGCCTAGGATCTCTTCCTTCCCACCTCCGACTGTGAGAATCCTTAGCTTCCTTCAAGGCTCCACTTAGGTGCCATCTCCTACAGGAAGCTCTTTCTCATCACAGCTATAAGTGCTCCCTTCCTCTTCCAATTCTATTGTATTTATTCCCATTCCCAGTAGAATGGAAGCTCCTTGAGGGCAAGGACTATTTTCTTTGTGTTTATATTTCCAGCATCTAGCAGAGTGCCTCGAACAAGTGAGCCTGTGAGGTGAAGTGAGGCTCAGAAGTGAAGTGAGGCCACAGGGTTACGTGAGCTAGTGAGTGGCCAAGCTGAGTGAAACACAAACCCAGCTTTCTTGATTCCCAGGCCAGGCCTTATTCCACTCTACCCACGCAGCCTCTAGTAGTAGGAGCCTTTTGCCTACTTGTCCTTTTAAGATGGGACAAGACAGGTTGTGTAGTTTACCACCTGTGGTGAGCTCCCTGGAATCGAGATGGTTTCCCTACATTTGCTTTTGTTTTTTCCCCAGAACCGACACAGTCCAGAGCACCCCGGTATGGGCAGCTCCCAGGCCAGCAGCAGCAGTAGCCTCCGTTAACAAGACCATTGGACGACAGACAGGCCAGGGGAGCTCTTTTCTCCTACACTGAACTTGCCAACAGAAGCAACCTTGGAGGCTAGAGGACATACTGCCCTTGGAGCATTCCCCTGCGACTGGGGTAGAATGCAGGCCAGGCCAACTCTGGCTGGGAGCGAATGAGGTGGATGCATTAGGGTGGGAAGGGCAGTGCCTGTGCAAGGCACAGCCCGGTTGGCTCTGTGGTGGAGCTGCTTTTCCCTTCCCAAGGAGCCTGCTCTCCATGTTTTTTTGTACAGTTTGTCTGCTTTAAGATTTGGATTGGTTTATTAGGGCTTGGCTTCTTTTTAAAAAATTCATATTGTACCAAACTGGCTGAGTTGTAACACTTGGGTGTTGGGAGCCAATGAGGTCCTGTCCTCGAGGGACGGAGTTGAGGATGCTGCTATGATGCAAGAGTTGGTCCTTGCCATATTTCCAGGAGTAGCCAGAGGGGGCTCCATGGAGAACAAGGACCAATATTGGGTCAGTTTCCTGAGGAAAGGGTACAAAAAACGTTGGAATGCCACCCCAAATGGGATAGGGGAGGGGTGGGTGATCAGTATTAACATTGCTAAGCCTACTACATCCCCATTATCTAATGGAGAACTGAGTGTAAAGGTCTGGTCTGGCAATAATAGATAGCATCTTGCTAAGGACATAAAGAAAAGGTATTCCTCCTACCAGCTGAGTGAGCCTAGGCCCCTAAGTAATGATAGCGTATCACTTTAGCACCCTAAGGTTTAGAGTGGTCGCGGTTATCTGCGGAGACAGATTTGGAGAGGCTATCTGATGTCACACAGTTCCAAAGCTAGGAATCTTGGACGACTCAGAAACAGTCTTGTTATCTGGGGGACTCAGGGTCATCTGGCACCAGCTGTAGTTCAGTTTGAGTTAGCTGCCATAGCCTGTAGCAACTCTAGACTTGGGTTCAAGTAATTTAACCAGGATGGTTCCTGGATCAGAGCTTTTGAGGCAAACCTCCAGCACAGGCAGGTGCTTGCCTTCTCTCCTTCTCTGTTTGTTATGCCCTAGTTCTCCAGTTAAACCCGGCAGAGGGTTAACCTGCCCAGTTTCTGCAGCGTAGAGCACGTCGGGCTAAGAAGTTGTGGCCTCCAGGGCCCTGCGTTCGTTTCCCCAAGCCTCAGAGGGCAGCTGTAGTTCTCCCCCAGTGCCAGCAGGTGGCACTTGGCCCTACTTGACATTGACTGGGCAAGGGTGGTGATGGCCCTGCTTAGGTGCTGTTGCTCACAGCAGCCACCACCTTTCTAAAGTCAAAAAAAAACAACAACCGCCCTACAACTTGGACCCTGATCTTTTCCTTGACTCAGGCCATGGTTTTTGGCTTGGCCTGGCTCTGACTCTCTTCCAGCCGAATTCATCCAGCTAGCTCTCAGCAGTAGTCAGCCTATTAGGAAGGCACACTTGAACATCTGTCCTCTAATCCACTGAGAACCTTTTATACAAAACAGACTCAAGTGAAGTGTGAATCACTTTAGCTGCAGGTTTGCCTGAAGCCCAGGCCTCCTGAGCCCGACTGCCCCAGCCATCCATCTCCTACCAGGTAAAGTGTCTAATTGTAACCTGCCCTGAGGCAAGAACAGAACACAAATCAGGGGAGCCATTTAGATCGGGATTTCTTTTTATTCCTTGTTGGTTTAAAATGACTAATCAGAATAAAAAATAAAAGGGCCTCTGCCTAGAGGGAGATGGGTCCCCCTTATAGAGGCCAGGACCCAGGCATCCCCTGCCACCCAGGAGAGTTGGGCTAAAGGTAATCCCCAAGGCCTGCCCCTCTCTCCCCATTCCCAGTTTTTGGCATGTGATGAGAAATATTGCTTTTTGGATTCTTCTCTCCCGGCCTTGAATCTGAAAACTCAACTGTGAGGGTTGGGGGAGGCACCGACGGGCTGCCTGTCCCCGTTGCCCCTGCGGGGATGGGGGTCAGATCCAATGATAGGGTGGCTGGGCTAGACCAACTCCTTCCTGCTGCGCCACAGGGCAGGCAGCGGGGCCTTGCCCACTAAGGAAAATCAAGTGCCAGTGAGACTAGAAAACTAACTGCATCATCCCCAGATCTCTCCCTCCTCTGACCAAGGCCCCTGCAGAGAATGTTCTCACTCTCACCTCTCCTCTTCCCAAGCTCCTCAGGGACAGCCGAGGGGGAAGAAGAGAGGCGAAGCCACAGGGGAGGGAAGGGCATGAGTTAGAAGCTCCCATGCCTCTGCCCTCTTCCTTTTGGTCTGAGGAGCAGGGAAAAGGGGGGTTGAGGGGGGGAGCGCCCCTTTCTCTCCTGATGCTCACCCCTCTCCTCCCCTTTCCCCATCCCAGGGTAGATATATAATTTCTTTGATATTTATTATATATATATATATATATATATATATATATATATATATATATATGTACACACACACACCTGGTAACGCAGAAGAGGAAAAAATAGAATCCGTAACAATAATAAAAAAAATTATTTCTGGTTTAAAAACGATCCGGTTCCCTCCAGGGCAAGCAATTGCACAAATGTCCACTGAGTCTGGCCCAGGGGGGAGGAGGGTGATTCTCAGATAGGAGGTTACTGCCCTTGGCAGTAGGTGTGAACTCTCCCCCACCTCCCCCACCTCCAATATTGTGGTTTTTAAAAGCTCCTCATCCTCTTGGGACCTGTGGTTTGCAAAGTTGTCCATGCAGGTGAGGGGAGCCCCTGGGGGGGGGGGAGCAGGGTAGCCACTCAGGGCCCTTTGGTGTAGGCACAGAGGCGCCAAGGGCTCACACCGAAATCTCATAGGTGGTGCCGCCCACCCCCGACACCTTCTTGACTCCTCCTCGGGTGGGGCTGCTGAGGGTTGGCTGGCCCGGGCCAGGGGAGGCAGAGCCCAAGGTCTTGGGCTGCCCATTGGATTTGCTGTAGGCAGTCTTCAGTTGCACCTCATCTCTGGGGAGGGAAGGACAGATGGGTATCAGGAAATGAGGAGGATGGAATGGCAGAATGTCTAAACAGACCACAAAGGGAATAAGGACAGAGTCATATACATTTTCTCTCCTAGCCATTCACCCCCTCAGAATACAAACGTCTCCCCAATGATCCTCTTCTCTGACATAGGGAGGAAAAACCCCCACCCTTATCCTTCTTTAACACTCACCCCCCCCCTTTGTCTAGGGAGAATTTCTCATATACTCACTTCCTCTGGCACACAAGGCACATCCCTGTACTTCCTGAGGAAAGATGGGGAGGCACTAGGCCTGGCTACACGTGGCCAGGAGAAAATGAGGATAGTTCAGATGGAATCATCAGACTCCCGGGTTCACTGGAGCTAAAATGTGCTCTGAAGGTAATGACCCCTCATACAGGACAAAAAAGGGCAAGGAAAGTCTACAAAGCAACTCTTGACACTTACTTGGGGGCCAGTAATGGCTGCAAGGCAACTTCCTCTGTCTCAGGGACACCAGATGGGGTTTTTTGGCTGCTGTAGGACATGGATCGGCCCAGGTAAGGGGCAGTTGGGGCTGGCTCAGGGGACCCTAGTCCCCGGCCCCGGAGCCCTTCTGGCTTGCCAAAACGGGGAGCAGCTGGGCGGCCCAGTGGGGTCTTGCCCAAGGGCGAGCGCTTCGAATCGTCCGAAGATGAGCTGGTACGGGGGGCATGGCCAGAGCCTGGCGTTGACTGGATGCCCGAGTCTCCCAGTCCAGATTCCTCTTCCCGACCAGGAATAGGAGGTGACTGGCGCAGCAGTTTTTCCCGCTCCTGAAGGGAAGCCACAATGTGGCGCGACAGATTGTCGTACCGCACAGGTGAGGGCTCGCGTGGTGGAGGGCCAGCTGGCACCAGGCGTGGGTGCCTCTCAGCTTCCCGCTGCTGGGCCAGCCGGGCCGACAGGAAGGGAGAGGTATAGCCCAAGGGGGGGTCTGGCTCTGGCCCTGCTTGCACCGACTCAAAAATCAGGGCTGTCAGAAGGGGTGAGCAGGCTGTCATAAGAGAGGCTCCCATTGCGTGTCTGGTTGGCTAGACTCTTGTAGGAGGTGGAAGTTGTCCCCTCTGAACGAATTGACTGCAGCTGACCCATTTCAAAGCCTGTGCCTTGGGCTGACTTGAGGCTGGAGGAACGCGACCCACTTGACAGTGGGTCAAAGTGAAAGCTCTTGCCAAAAGTGGGAGAGCGGAAGCTTTCTGGTTCCAGGCTGGGCTCTGAGCGGTAGCTGGGGTGGCGGCTGCTCTCAGCAATAGAGGCTGGCTCCTTCAGGCTGTCTCCTCGACTCAGCTGACGAAGAAAGCCCAGGAGCATATCAAGACCTGGTCTAGGAGCACCCCCTTCAGTACGCTGGTACCCAACACGAAGTCCCCTGAGCTCAAGAATCCCCGGTAGTGAAGGATCCCCCACTCATGGGATTGGGTTCCACCAAGCCAGCAGCTAATGAAATGGCTTCCAGCCCTTCCCTCTTCTCCCATCTTCCCAAAGAAGCCAGGACCCTCTTTGACTCTCTGTGCCAAGGTCCCTCCCCATCCCCACTGGGGCAGGTCTTGTACCTTAGCACTTGAGGAGTGAGGTATGGCAGCGGATGTGCTGCTGCTGCTGTAGCCAGGCCTATACTTGTACATGGTAGGTGTGGGGGGGTTGTCCTTGCTCAAAAGACTGTCTGCAAGAGGAAACAGAGAAGCACAATAATGGGTCACTTTTAGGTTTGCAGAGCCCTTCACACAATGATCTCATGTGACACTCACGACAGGAAGAGAGAACTGAAGTAACTTGCCTAGGGCCCCCAGCTAGTACCTTGGACAAGAGTGAACTCAGGCTTTTCTTGACTCCCGCTATGATGTTACCTAGCTGCCCTAGCTCTCTTCTTGAAAGAGCCAGGCCAATGGAGAATCTGAAGATTGGACTGAGCAGAAAAGAGGAGGCTCGACACATGCTGCGGGTCTCAGTCAGGGTAAGGATGCCACCGAGAGCTCGACACCATTACCCAGTGTGATGGCAGTAGAACACAGGGATCACAACTTTGAAACAGGGATCTGATTCTCTAGCAGATACAGTAGGGGGTCCCCATGTCAAGGGGGCCTCCAGGCCTCCCCTCCCATCTCCCCTGCTTACAGAAGCTCCCCCATCCTGCTGTCCTTGACCATCCTGCTCTCCCCGACCATCCTGCTCTCCCCAAAGCTCTTACCCTCAGTGGTGGCTAGGCTGAGGTGAGTCCGGAGGCCCGTGTAGCGACTCAAGTCTGGCTTAGGAGGTGGTGGGGGCTCAGCATCGGCAGACTGGCTCTCTGTTACCTCCAGGCTTCCCTTGGACTAAGAGTTATAAAAAAGAAGAGGTTCGATATGGAAGAACATAGTCTTTGT